TCTCCCCCCCCCTCTCCCCACGGTCCATGCAAGCAAACCAGGCCACGGCGCGGGAAGCCCTGTGATTGGTCGGGGAGGCGAAAGCATTTCATGAATGCGCCAGGCCCCGTCAGGTCGGTGGAGGACATGGCGGAGCAGACGTGGCGGGAGGGGGAGGGGGAGGGATACGTGTCCGTCCGCGTCTCAGAGTAACAAATAGTCCCACAATGTATGAGCTCAAATTTGTGTGAAAACGACGTAAAATCTCGTATCTAAATCTGAATATCTCACACATACGTTACGTTCTAACTTTGTACATGAACATTTTGTGAAATTTTCTCTTAGTTTCGGGGTTGGCGGACGACCAAAATGGGTCGGGTTAGCCGCGAAGGAATACTTCGCCTATACTATTGGTGGCCATCACGACAACCAGACAGGTTGAGGCTCTCTCTCTCTCTCGCTCTCTCACCCCCTCCCTCCCGCCCTCCCTCTCTCCCGCTCGCTCTCTGTTGATAGTAGTAAAGCTTTGATACCCCAGCCCAGCTCAGAACCAAAACAGAGACGAAGCAGCGAGGAAGTAAGCGCATGCTCCGCTGTGACCCACACACACAACCTCGCTCTGTTATTGTTACGCGCGGCGTGTTCTGCCCGCTACGACCACAGCGGCAACGAGGAGTCGTATAAAACCCTTCACAACTGTTAACAACACTCCAGCGATTCCTCAGACCCGTACAACTGAACTTGTCTGTCAGTGTAGTTCGTGTGACTTAGGACTACCACCACTACAACTACTACTACAGCAACTACAATTACAACGTCTTTAAAGATTTACGACTACTACTACTACTGCCAGTAGTAGAATAGTTGTACATTTTACGCCTTTGGATTTTACCTCCGTTGTTCGTCAGCGACAACACTCAAGTGGAGAGGACGTGAATTTTTCTCACTCTCGGATATATTTATTTATTTATTTATTTGTAACAACTCATCGCTTGTTTGTTCTGCTTCTTCTTTCACCAACTCACGACGGAATACTTTGTGGATTACAAAACACTCGCCAAGTGGATATCAGTGTTTGTGAGTATGATTTCACGCAAAATTGGAGTAGCAAGTCTGTTTTCTTGTACAATGAGCCAGCCACAGGACCTCGGCCGGGAAGACGAGTACGAGCTGCACCAGCAAAACATTGTCAACAACAACGTGAACCTCAACCAGACCTTCCACTCCTCACACTTTATACCACGAGTCAAAAGTAAGTTGATGATCGAGAGTCGAGACCTCTAGAAATCTGGTCTATTCATTCAGCGAGCCTTTAGTCGAGTTTTATTGACATTTTGATATGTATTGATGAGACTTTTGTATTACGAAAAATGGTTTCGCAGATTCTAAAATTCTGTTAAGTCTGGAAATCTAGATGTGTAGGAGGTATGACATCTCTTTGCGATAATAAGTATACTTACAATATATGCGGGGAGAAAGATCCATTTACGAGATCTATTCTCTGGATTTAAAGGTCGAAATTGTCAACAATGGACAATTCAAACGTGGAACAAATTATTAAAAAGAGATTCTACGGAACGAAACTGCTCGTTTAAAAACCAGAACTGGAAAATAAGGAACAGAAAAGAATGAATGAATAATTCCGAAAATTCTAATATTTTTCACTTTGGGGGTATCGTATTTTTTCTAGCGAAATGAGAAAAGATAAAACCTGTCTTAACAATTCTCACAATCAGTCTAAATAAGAATACAATCTTATTTTGCAGGCTACAAAGAAAAAGAAATGTTGGAGTCATATTATGAAGTAGAGGAGGTGCTGGGCTCCGGAGGATTCGGAACAGTGTACGCTGGATATAGGCGCAGAGATGGATTAGCGGTGAGTTCTAAGTCTTGTTGTGTATATTATAGCTAGATACATCATATCTTAGACTCTTAGATCTATCTTTGTGTCATTGTGCAGTTTCTAAAAGAAAGAAAGATTTTATTGCCATTAATTTTAATTGAACTTAAATGTTTGTTTTTTGTGATATCTAAGATTTGGAACGGAAATTTGTTGTTGAAAAACTCAATAAGATTTTAAGAAAAAAATGTAGATTTCTAGATTCTAGATCTAGATTCTAGATCTAGATCTAGAATCTTCGTTTATATAAATTGTTAGTACTTCAGACACATATTTATTGTTATTGTTACATTCTACTTAGATCTATTAATGAGATCTTTTTTTCTGCGAAAATTTTTATCTGATGAATTCTAAGTTTTAAAGTTTTCAAAGTTCATGACCAGAATTTGTTTGTTTTTTCAGGTTGCCATAAAACATATACTGAAAAAGAAGGTGTCGTCATGGACACAATTGGTGAGTTTCTTCCATCATTTCACATTGTTTTTCTTCATTATGTCCCATCATGTTTGTTCCAATGTCCCATATATGGGTCCCATGTCCATGTGCTGAGCCATGGGTCAAGGAATGGGGCAGTCTTGTATGGGGGTCAGCCATGTGGGGACAGTCAACAATTTTGTCCTAGTTTGAGGCCGAGGGTTTAGTGTGGCCTGAGTCAATGTTAATAGTTGGACAGAGAGAAGAGAGGTTGGGGAGGGGGAGGGAAGGTCTGATACTTCAAATTTGTGGAGACCTTTGAGCTCAGAGAATGTGGACTGACATTCAGTGAACAATGTGGAAATCTTTTTACGATTGGGGGAGCTCATGATAGTGGGGACAAAGGCTGACAAAAAGTGGGGGATAGGGGGAGTGGGGAAACAAGAAAGAATTATGGCAGCAGAAAAAACTCAGAAATATTCCATGAAAGTGATATCTTCTCTGCGCCAGAATCGACCTCACGTCTTTTGAGGGCAAAATGGTTCGAAGTAGGTGCCTCTGGGCCATTACTGTTGACGGACGGATACCCGTTACCATTTTGTAGTCAGGTAAACCAACAAGAGAGAACTCGTCCAATATCAACACAAATTACGAGCAACATTCTCCATCCTTTTATTTTCTTCATGAAGGTATTTTCACACCCCCTCGACACAATTTAGACCATTCAGAAGGCAGGCTTCCGACCTTTCCTGTCAGGGCAAACCTGGGCTGAGAAGGATTCAACATCCCAGCAAAAAGACGATCATACTCAAAATTTAAAAAACAAAACAAAAACGTCTTCCCCACTCGGGAATCGAACTCGGGTTTCCTGCGTACAACAACAACAACAACAAAAACAAAAACAACAACAACAAAGACGCCGATTCTATAGTCTATAGGCTTGCTGAGTAATGTTATGAATGGATCAGCGTTGGCATCACAACAACAATAAAATGTTTCAGTCCGTTGTCATCGCATACCGCAGAGGAAAGGAAATATGAGTAGGAATTTTCTCGACGTATTCATAGCCAATGTATCATGAATAAAGAGAAGCGCATCAACACAATAAATGCTGGGAAAATACCAGACAGGCAGACTGAAACCGCAGAAGGAATGTAAAGAAGTACCAGTGAGGCCCACCAACCACCCGCCAAAACACGTCAATGAGTTAAGCATACAATGTGCTTTTTAACGATTCGTGAATATAAAATAGCTGTATTTTCTTGATCGACTACCCCCTATTAACGTACAAAAATATAGCAACAACCATCCAGCTCTGCTTGTTTGTTGTTTGAGATAAAGAGAAGTAACCACAGTGACACGATTACGGCCATAAAGTACTGGGG